CGATTGAGGGAAGGGAATGGTCGGTAGTAAGCTGTTATTGTCGCGAGCTGCAACTGTTGGACTACCGTATTTGGCTCTCAGTCTAAGAGTGTCTCTGAGCTTGTACAAACTTCCTACTATCTTGCGGCAAGTCATAGCGTTGATATTCTGCGCAGGGGAGAACGAAGGACCAAGGCTTAGAAGCTCAGTGATGTTAGAAGATATTTGAGTGTTGCCAATTATCGTGACTCTAGCTGTTACTTCATTCTCAGATGCAAGTCCATTGGAGCGGTAGCAGGGGTTGCTACTTCTGTCACATGAACAATTTCTGCAGAGTTCAGTCAAAAGTCGGTCGTACTTTGCGCGGAGTTTGGATTTGATTCTAGACCGCATCGAATCACAGATTAGCTTTGACCCATCCTCAATCCTCCTCCAACGTTCACCAGGCATGAGACGTTTACAAGCTTGTTCTTTTGTGTTACATTTCAACAAGTATACAATGATCTCCGTTTTTCTTTGATGATAATCTTCAGGATAGATTGACAAATCTTCACGATCCTCGGATCATTTTGCATCCTTGCATCCTTGATCCTTGCAAGCGCTATCGGAATTGTTGGAATGACCCTGATAAGCGAATTTTTGAAGTGCAACATCTTTAGATGGTCTGGGACTTACTACGCCCAGATACGCGGACACGCGGATTAGCTATGGGTCAGAGGTTGGCGCCGGTTCTCGCCATTTGTTTTATGAGTAAGATCGAAGAACCAGTGCTAGCCCGCATGCCGCTAATGTACTGCCGATATATCGATGACTGTTCTATATTTACATCAACACAGTCCGAAATGGACAAGTGTTTCGAAATTTCGAACCAACAGTCGCAGTACATAAAGCTCACACGAGAAACACCACACGACGGATGGCTGCCTTACCTCAACGCGCAAGTAAGATTATCCAATGGTATTGTCAGCATGAAATGGTACCGCAAAGATAGCTCGAAAAACATTCTTTTGAATTCAAATCAGCGCATCCTGCATCTACGAAAAGAGCGGTGATCAAAAATATGTTTGAAACGGCTATGCAGATGTGCTCCGGAGAAAGAGAACGATGCGAGTCGCGAGATCTGGCCACCAAGATTGCTTGCAGCGACGGTTATCATTCTTTGCCACATGATCAACATCAGGCGAATGGTAACAAAATCCGCGATAATAAGCTCCCACTGTGCCTTCCATTTATTTCCGATAACATCAGTGCGGCATTTCGAAAATGCATTTCACGTGCACAACTGCAAAACGATATTGTTTTAGTCGACATCCCAGGTGACAATATCAAAACGCAGTTAGTTCGAAACAGACTTTACGATCGATACTGTATAACAGATCGATGCGTAGTCTGTCCGCACGGGAAAATAGGTGATTGTGCACAAATGGGAGTAGTTTATCAGTTAGAATATCTTAGCTGCAATGCCATCTATATCGGAGAAACTGGCAGAACACTTAGTACTCGCGTAAAAGAACATCTTGCAGATAAAAGGCGTAAAACATTGTTTTCACCTCTGGACAAACATAGCCACGATTCGCATGGTGGAGACGATTTCGATATCAAATGCCAAATCTTGGCACATGAAAAGGAAACCTCGGCGAGGAAGGCGTTAGAAGCATTCTGGATTTCTGCGAAGAATCCAGCAATGAACAATAAAAATGAGTGTTTGTCAATTACCACGGACTTCCTACCCTTCATATCTCTATGCAGACTGTAGATCACTTATGTGCTTTTATGGTATAGTCCATTCTATCCGCCAAGACCATCTCTTCCGGTGCGGAACCCCAAATAGCGGTGTTCACAGGGTATGTTCATCTTCTGGCATAGCAATTTTTACGGTAGGAATGTTGAACGAAGGTTGAGAACTGGCAGGAATGGAGATGGTACTTGATGGCCTCGTTTCTCGGGTAACGCTTTGAGCCATTTTCAGGCCTCTGAGGAAGACGAAAGGCGTCGAAACGTTAGGCCGTGATTGGAATAAAGGAACACCTAACAAACCTGTTTGGCACAGAAGTACTTCTACTACACGATTCAACTATGGTGTCTGATGCGCTCGCTGCTCATAACGACCCCATATCAAGAGTAAAAACCGCTTGAGGCGGCTCTCTTCGGTCAACGAAGCCCTTCTCAATGAGCTTCTGTTTGATCAACAGTGCGGCGCAGTCAGGCACCTTTTTAACACAATCTATTTTAGGTCAAAGGCAGTATCGGTGTTAAGGCATGGTGTTGTTCCTAGACTGTGGTCTCCAAAACTGCATTCGTCACAATTTTTTCGGATTATGAACAGATTGCTGAAACGCCCTTCCTCTCATATTCTCAATACAGCATTTCCTGAACAAATAAAATTCTAAACAGGCCAATAAAGCTTTATTTGCACGCGGAATGCCGATCTTAGTGCAACATGTTGAGATGTCACCGTTTCCCACCACCAACTATCACCAGTATTAATTTTTTGAGTTGTTTTTACTCGGCCACTCTGTACTGTGTGTGTTGAGGACCGCACTCTTTTTAAAGGCAGTGGATCGGCAAAATCCAACAACTCAAAATTTTAACGCGGTAGACTCCTTTCCGGACGAGTTGGCAATTTCCTTCTCACTATTGGAGGCTGCCCGCCGCAATGTTATAATCATTGGGTCCTGCAACGATTTGGCGTCATCAGCCTTGCGCACTCGTCCAATTCCAAAGGGAAGGGCATTGAAAAACGCTCGTTTTCGGCATTTTCAAGCTCTCAAAAGTGGATTTTCGGAATCAGCGTATTGAATAACCCCAGGTAAGCGAAAATTTGACTATGTTGAGATTTGGCGAGCCACTGCCTTTAAGCACAGACTTCTCCATATGTCCAAGTTGTCCATTTTTAGACTTTTCATGATAATTGCTGCGTTCCCCCATGCCTTTAAACACGCAGTGGCACATTTCTTTGGATTTGCACAAGGGCTCACTGCTGTGTTCCTTCAAAGCTTTTTCCCGTCAAAATATATTAAGCTGGTCACTCTCCAGGGTTGTAGATGAAATTCTAAAACACAGCTGAGGCGGGCAAGTGTTTTTTTCTAAAGGTCGTAATCATTGAAAACTCCATTTTCGTTCTTTAAAACCGACGTAGTCGAAGTGTTCGCAGCATCTTTCTTCTCGTTAGGGAAGGATTAGAAATTGCAGCAGCGATTTGAAACGAAATGTATGACGTAATAAATGTATCTCTTTTGTATCTGCTAAAAACTAGAGCGTTTGAATGTCCGAAAAGTGAACGCCCAATGGTATTTCTCCAAGATTGGATCGTTCAAAAACTTACTTACGTAACCCGTTGATGCGTGCATTGTTGTAGTCAACACACTCTATACCTTGCCAATAATGCTCCCCAAAGCTGGATTTCAACACACATTTGCGTTAACCTAATAACTTCATACCTTTGACCGCTCTTCCTCTAAAAAATCCCGCAGCAGATGAAAAAGGATTTGATATGAGCTTATCAAGACGCACCTAACGGTACGCGTTCTATTCCAAATCACCACTGCGATTTGAAGTTTTTCCCTTCACAGACTTTTGATACCGCAGACCTTACTTCTTTCAGCGTATTTCAGTCGATTGGCCGCAAATCACTCGATTTCTAAGAGCTTACTAATCAAATACATCGTGAGTTTTTATTCACGAACTTCACTGTTGAGGTTCGAATTTTCCTTTTTCTCAAGCCATTTCCTGCAGAGTTTTTCTTATAAATGTCATAGATTTCTTTCATCTAAATTCTTGAGGCGCGAATGTCTATTGATATCCACGAAAGTCCATTTAAAAAAGGGCTTTTCAAGAATGAAACGCGAGACATGGGCTAAGTCCCTGCGGTCCGATAAGATATCACTTTTGCGGCACTTCATTTTATTCAATGCTGGAGGTAAGGCTAAGCAAGAGGAGGCACAAGTTCTTAAATAAAGACCCCCTCCCCCCTAAGGAAGGCTTTAGACTCTAAACGACCCCTCCGCTTCAACTCCAGGACCTCAGACCGTGACATGTTAAAGAAGATCAGCCTTTACTAGAGGGTTCTCGTTTTTTGGAAATCTAGGCCCGAATTTCTGCGATTGCACGACAACACGCAACATGACGGCAAATTTTGAATCTTAGCCCTTTTTTAGAGCTATAATTTTCACAAGAGTGGAGTGTTTGGCTCCAAATTTTCAATGTAGCAAGGAGAGGCTTTGAACTCAATACAACTGCTGAATTTTATCTCGTAAAGGGAAGCGAGAAGAAAATTGTGAGAGCTTTGGATATACTTTAAAAAATATGGCTGAAAACTCATGAATTTAGCTTGACTGTGGAGTAACGCGTTACATTGTTTAGCTTATTTGCTTACAGTTAGTGTGATTTGGGGGAGACTCAGTTTTTGGCAAACTAGAATGCTTTCATAACATTCAGATCTTGCCTAGACTCACTCCAAGTGCTTTTGAAGGGAACTTATTGAAGCTTGCTTCGCTAACCCAAAGCGTTTTACAAAGAACTTCTGAAAAAGGCAAATTTATTTAAATTAAAAAATCACTGATCAAATATTGCTTCAACACCCGTAGGTTGAAAACAAAATTCGTAACCATAACATCGAAAGTTTTAGAACCTTGCTACGTTTTGAGTAATTTGTTGGTTCTACCAGAATCCGACTCCTCGCATTCATCTGTCATATCTTGCTATATCAGATAGTCGTGACCGTGCAAAATCTTGTTAAAACAAACAAATAATCATTCTCTGTCAAGTCAGAGTCATTCTGAGCAGCACAAATTTACGATGACATGACTAGCTAATTTGACCAACAATTTTACAGCCATAAAGGCACCAAATTAACTGCTATGCCACTACTGTTTCAATTCTTTTGATTATTCCACTCGACCCTTCCTTCTTTGGGTCTAAGACATTTACACATACCGCAACGAGTACAATAGCGCTTCCTTTTTAAAAAAGTGTCTAATACGAGTTCAAAGGATTTCGAATCGATTGCAGATAGCACTTACACTGCACAATTCATGGAGTGTAGCCGGATTAGACCTGAACTTTCCTATCCCTCTCACTGCTACCATAATCGGATGATAAGAAAATGCTCGCAATCCACCAAATCGATCTTTCGTTTGATCGACTTTAACTCCCAAGTTTGCAGTATTCTGGATCATATCTCGCACTGCTGCAGTGATAATCATAACTCACAAATCTGAAGATTAGAACTTATATAAGAGCAAACCTACCATCTTCATACGCTTGTGCTGGTCTTGAACAAAGATGGGGAAGACGGACTTCGGGATCCTCGCAAATGGGTGATCCTCTTAGCGAAAGGTCGGGAAAGCCGTCTTTACCCAAACGCAATTTAATCTTCTCGATAGAAAAATTACCTAGATATAGAAAAAATAACTGAGGGTTACTAAAAGGAGGTAAGGAGATAGAGAATGATGAAAATTTTTCAGGTGATCCAAACCACGAAAAGGCCAAAAATCCGTAGCATTTTATCTTGTAAGTCCACCATTTGCTTGCCCTTTTCGTCATTAAAATAACAGCATTTCTTTTTTGACTCCAAAATGTTGTAAGTAATTCAACAATCAGAGCAGGCAAGCGCTGACACTTATTTATAATTAAAGCAGCTGAAATCTACGGCGTCCATGCTACTTTCACGGTCTTGAAGATATGTGTCGAAAACTAGGTGAATATTTTGGATACTCGCTCGGTTCCTGTCATAACTATGATAGATATTTCCTATCCATACAACATTTCCCTCTCCTTGTTTCACAAATAACAGTTCTTTACCTCCACATTTCGTAATCAGCATGATCACGCCCTGACTCCTTATTCTTCAACTCCATTGCAAAAAAATCGTTAAAACCGATTAATCGAACTCAAAACCGAGCATTTTACTCGTAACCAGCATGCTCATTTACCTGCTGTGCCACCAACCAGTAGCTAAAAGTTTGCAACTGACAAGGGAATATAGCAAATTATGTTGCAAGAGGGGTTTCCTGCCCGGACATCTGCCACATCTCCATCTGCCATCTGCCACATCAGCACCTTTACGCATAACATGTAACTGCAGCTGACGCCAGCTGTTCTTGAAAATAACTTTCAAATGCCATTTTAGCAGTGGCGGCATGTGCACTCTTCCGGTTGAAAGAAATTTACATTTGAGCGAGGATTTTTTCATGTGGCGTAAGTTTTTCACTTTTCCCGAGCAGATTTCTTGCTTCTGCTTTCAAGTTACGTCAGTTAGAAATGATAACTCACCTTTGGTGCAGATCGATTCAAAAATCATCACTTATAATAAAGCGCTAAGCGTCTGTCTCTTTGTATGTGTGTCTGTCTGTCACTAAAATTTATGGAACCTTGCAGCTAAAGCCAACGTCTCCCACAATTTTGCACCACATACAGTACCAGCGTGTAGATTCACCGTGCTCAGGGACGAGCGGGTCCGATAGGCGCGTTATTCAAAAAGTAGGCGTCAATAGGACTTTCTGCGAGGAGACATTCGTTTAAGCAAATCCGCGACTATCAAACTGGTTCAAGAAGTAATCAGAAGTTTATTTCTTCGTGGAAACGTAAAGAATAAAAAAATGATTGCATAACACGTCAATTTGTTACTATTTCACTCGGATAAGTGAGAGAAGTCGCTTAGAGATGTGGCTTACGATGGTCGTCGTTAAACTATCATCATGACTTAAAATAAAGCGCGTGTCTGTCTGTGTGTGTTTATGTCTGTCTGTCACGAAATTCATAGAGCGCTTTGTAGGTAAGATCTTGAGCTGAAATTTTGGTCATAGCACCCTACCAGGATGTAGGTGAAAAGTGCAAAAGCACAAGCTGATCCGATATTTGGGACCTTTAAAAACTGCGCGTCAAACGGGCCTACGCGGCTTTTGGCACGCAAAACTAGGTCATTAATTCGACTTTTTGCGAAATCATGATTTGCCTGACAAGTACATCTGCGCCTCATGAATTCTAGCCCAGAAAGTGCCCAAAAACATTGCTTTTCTGCGACAAGAGCGCCAAGAAGTGGAGATCGCTTAGACAGTCGATTTGGCAAGGTTTTACCTCCGGACTTGGAAAAATTTTTGCACGGAAATTTAGCTCAAAGTGACTATTATCCTTACGACGACTACCAAGCCAAAACAAATTCAGTAATCTAATCAAATTCGCAGGTGTTCCTTTGCGACAACTTTTTTTCTCTCAAAATTACCGATCTTACGTGGAGATGCTTCAAGAATGAACAGTTGTTTACTATTCATTTGTGATGTTCAGCATCGCATGATGGGTTTCAAAGTCATCATTATGCGAACATGAGAAAGGCAAACGGATAGGAGAGCCAGTGCGAACCTCCGCGAAGCGGAGGTGACGCACTGGTGCCGAAATAAACTCGGTGACTGATTCATATTCGCATTTATTCTTTTAAAAAAGTAGCTTCTCTCAAAACTACCGATCCTGCAGGGAAAAGCTCAAGTGAGTGGTTTTACGATTCATCTTGATGGCCAGCATTTTGCGGCGAGTCTCAAATCATGATGCGAGAATGTGGAGGGACAAATAGTAGAGCCAGTGCGAGCCTCTGCGAAGCAGATGTGATACAGTAGTGGAACGAAAACTTCGAACTTACAAGAAGCTCGCAAAAATGATGAACTATCTTCATCATTTCCGATCCATACTTCCCAAGCAATCGGTGACAAAATAACTAAAATAGAAATAAAAGCATTTATTATTAGAGTATTTATTTCGTGGAAACATAATTCATTAGGTTCTAGTTTGAAAAGGCGGCATATCCCGCTATCGGCTAACATCATTGTCTGTGGAAGTATGCACTTTGAGGCTTAGCGTTCAAATTAGATTGCAGTTCATAAGCACAAAGCACCCTTTTTTGAAAGGGGCAAAACAACATTAGTGCAGCCGCTGGACCATTGTTTTTAGAAAAAGAGTACTATTTCTGTTACATCACTCGAGCACTCTTGGTTTAGCTTGCTTAATGTCTGTCTAAATATCTCATTAGCTTTCACAAATGGTTGAATAAAGCATGCCTCTACACGGGTGTACCAAAAAAATGCCTACTATTTAACTGCTAATAACTCTTCTGTCATGCAGTCTTTCAAGAAGCTTTATGCGCCATTTTGTAGCTCTGGCTTCAATAGAATTGCAGTATAGAAGGAACTACCGGTCTCTCTTCATTAGTGCAGGATTACGGTAGAAACTTTGATGAGGTTTTGCATTCTTGAGGGTCAGGGTCATGTTTTACCTTTGCAATCCGACTGTAAAAGTTGAAAACTTCTACACTGGGTTAATCGAAATTGTTTTGTTGAGAAAATAGCGAGGCGTGTGGTATTCCCGGCCCTTAGGAACTCAGCTTTTGCGGTAGAATTTCGCGGCAAAGATTAATGTACCGTGTTTGTGGTGATTTATCCAACATGGTAGTTATAAAGTCGTTCTAATTTTGCTCTAGGTTTTCAAGGTTCAAAAAAAACTTGCCAGAAATCCACTTTAGTTCATCCAGGTTTTGTATGACATGCAATGTGTATCCTTCTTGGCAAACATCAAGAGAAAAACTATCATTAATGCCAAACAGCTTAAAGCAACGATTGTCCACAACAAATTCGTCATCATTGCATTGATATGATTTGACTGCAAAGCAAAAAAAATGTGATGTGCACATAGAACTTATGCGTACATAGCCTTGTTTTTTCTTGAATTGAACGGGTGAATTAGTATAGAAATAAATTAATTTCCGAAAGGCTTTATTCGACTTTTCTTTTGGAAAGGCTTTATTCGACTCTCACACCTGTTATCCATCTACCTTTTATATCAAAGGATCCAAGGCAACGATGCGGAAAGAAAGACCACTATAAACGAAGTAGAGTGATTATTAAGGTGGACAAAGAAACGCAAGCTACTATGGGTTTTCCATGATGCCGAGCATCTCTGCTAAATTGTAGGTTTTCTTTGTTTTGCTCGCTTTTGTCTTTCCATTTTTGAATTGAAGCCTAGCATACTCACATGTAGTAGAACGCTAGGCGTGATTTTTTGCAAATTTTCTTGCCACTAGCTTACGGTTTTCGTAAACTTCTAGCGCAACTCAAAATCGCAAATTGGAAACGCCTTTTTTGAAAGCTTCGTTTATGGCGGCTAGCTTTTGAAAATTATGCTTTAAGTTATGTTACGAAGAAAAACCTCCTACTACTTTCAAAAGACAAAATGATGAATTCGCTATAGAGAAAATTAAATCCGATTAAATTACGAAGGTGGCGTGCCAACCTAATATTATTAGGTTGGTGCCAAAGTAATGCGCGTTTTTCTAGCCCTTGTTTCAAGACAACTTTTTTCCATCAAACTTCTTTTCTTCTCTAAAAAAAACATAGCCTACTATCAAAAAGCTCCTTTCATGCCCTATTCAGTGATTGTTGAAGAGGGCTTCTAGCCTCAGTTCTTTAACATCTATAGAGCTCTACGCAACCGCACTCGAAACCAGTGTCGCGGATTGCGCGACTTCCTTATAGGGAGTTTGCAACCGCAAAGCGATGGGTCCTAAAATGTTAGTCCTCGCGCTGCCCCGCCTCTCGTTCCCACGTCTAACCTCGCATAAGTCACGCATTCTTCCACAATTGTCCAGCAGCGAGCGGTCGACACCTCAACTGTCTATTGATCGATCGAGCAGCGCACCTTTCGAGCCAGCGATGTTCAACACCTGCACGCTAGGAGGACTGGCACCTGCACCGAGGTAACCCGGCTGTGCGCCCCTTTCTTGCCGCAGGGCTGAGGAGCCACTTCGCCGGGGGTTTCTTTTTACCGACCCCTAGGTGAGATCTTTGGCCGGTGTGTACTCTGCCCATTGTACTGAGTTGCTTGTGTGTTTGGTTCAATTAGGGATAAATGGTGGGCACTTAGAGGTGTAGTGTTTTGACTCTTGTGGTAGCCATAGGCTCAGATCTTGGCACAGTTATATCTGTATGCTGTTGTGTTTCTTGTACTCATGTCTTGTAAGGATCCATCCGTCGGAAGACCAGGCACGATGCATGCTAGTGCCTCAAGTTCCAAGTATACACAAGTGTCCATGAGTGAACGGCTAGAGGTGGTTGGCAAGGCATTAGGGGGTTGGTTGTTAACTTAGGGCCCCTAATTCGTGTGCGTTGTGCTCGTGGCAGCCATAATAGCGTGGCGCAAGATGGCTACCATTTCCACAAGTGTCGTTACTCTATCTCACGGATGGAGTCCTCCGCTCCTGTCGCCGATGCAAGAGAGCACGTTACCACTGACGTCTGGAGCGGGGGACCCCAATCCGCGACATGGTGCATCGAAACGGAGTTAGGCATGGGGATAGCAAACCTATGCCTAGCTTTTGTGATCGGACCTAACTTGCGTATGCCCGCACACACGCTCTTTACGCATTGGCGTCCCTAGCTAGCAATGCAAATTCTAATCTGATTCCCCATTTCAGGTGCTTGCACAGTGTATACATATTTGTGCTTTTTGTCTCTTCCTTAGATCACGTCCATCGTGCACTAGCCGGATCCCATGAGACTGGGCTGACGCGAGTGAGCGACTACTGCCAGCACACTTAGCTGAGAGTAGGGTGATCCCTCACATGCCTTGAGTGGCACAAGCCGTGTGATATCTGCCTACTGTCCGTGCTGCCGGTGCCCTCTGGTGACCAGGTTTTTCTGCAGACATCGAGGACCTTGGTAGGCACTAGCTCTGTCCGCCTTGAAACACGTCGTCAGGCCTGCGGAGGAATCGCCTACTGTTATCGTGGATGTGAATCTCCCCTAAATTTTATCGCCGCCACATTTATGCTCGCATTTTGCAGCCACCTACTTCTAAAGGGATGTCGCAGCGCTAGTTGTGGCCAAACCGCTTAGTTCCCTGCGTTACTTGTGGTTAAACCCGCCTATTCCCTGCTTGCAATCTCGCTGTTCTATCATTGTGACATCTAGCGTGGCCAGTATAAGGTCTTTGTTTGTTGCTTATCACTCATCATTACGCTTACTTCGTCGTGTTCACCATTTGTGCCGCTACGTTCGGAAGTAGTAGCACACCCCTTTTTGACATATCCACACATTACAATTCCAGGATTTGGGCTTGCAGTCACTGGCTCCTGCAAGCTGCCAAGTGCAAAGCTATTGATCGATATGACGACAGTCGAAACTATATCCCCAGAGTCATCAAACCCATCGAGAACCTGGACATCGCTAGGAAGCAAGTAAGTCCCCAGTTACTTACTCCTGTAAGCCCCTGCTAGCGAGCAATTCCAAGAGCTCCGCAGAGACAGGCATCTATGCGACTTCATATTGCTTGTTTGAAATCTGCATTTTCGTTTCTCCGTGAACGTCGAGATACGCTCTTGAATCACGTTACTACATCCAATTTGACTGCAGATCAGATTGCGTACGACAAGTTTGTTGAGGAATTTAGCATTGATCAATATCAGGCGGATGCTGAAGCTCTCCTTCGAACCTTGCAGAATGCACTTGAAACGGATAGTGAGCAGTTTCAATCGATTCGTATTCGTGGACTTGCCAGTTCCATCAGCAAGAATAGCGATACGCCAGTATTGGAAGTTGCGACTCTACAGCGACAAGATCGCAGTCCTACGGACAACTCCACACCTGCTGACATGCAGTCGGACGTTACGCAACAGTCACAACATCTACAGCTCCAGCCCACGGGAACTGAAACATTGGTTTCGCCTCCTTCGCAGCAGTTAGCGATCCATTTGGAAAAGCTAACGTTGCCGCATTTTGACGGAGACGTCACTCAGTTTCAGCAGTTCTGGTGTGCTTTCGAGCTAGCTGTGCATAACGATCCTAGCATTGATCTCAGGATGAAGTATCTCTATTTGCAGAATTTGCTCAAGGGAGACGCGAGAGTAGTGTTACAGGATTTGGAGCTAGGGCAGAACAATTATTACCAGTTTGTACGCATTGAAGAAGCGATACGATTGCCCGAGGAGGACCAGAGCATTACTCCATCAACAGCTCAAGGATCTTCCACCCGCTACCGAGTCAGCTTCCGATATGCGCAGTACGTGGTTTCGGATTTCAGGTATTCTTCATGCCCTCATGCGTTTCGAAGATCTTAATCGAGTCCTTACCATCATTGATCTCGTGCGAACCAAGTTCCCCTTGTTCATCCAGGAGAGACTCAATGATGTCGAGTTCCAGAAACAAGCCGATTTCGATCTTCGACAGGTTATGACTCATCTCGACAATATCATCACGTCTAGAGAACGATTGCAGACCTGCTCCCGTAGTTGTACTTATGCTGTTAATAGAGATACTTCCACAGCACCATCATCGGTGCCTAGTCCTCCTAGGGTTCAGTATAACCCTTCCGCATGCTGCTTCTGTAATTTTTTCGATCATTCTTCTCGTCGATGTGATCAGCGAATGCCGATAAGTACGCGACGTAAGATCGTGCAGTTCTTCGGATTGTGCTGGAAATGCCTTCGAGACGGTCATCGTCAGGATCAATGCGATTATCCTGCATGTAGAAATTGCGGAGCTTTTCATCATCGACTACTCTGTACTCGTACGTCCAGAAGAAGTCGATCCCCAAGAGCCAGAACGAATAATCGCGGATCACGACCAGCTGCGAGAAGTCATCATTCCTCTAGAGACTCCTCGCCATCGAGAAGTCCAGCAAGGGATAGCAGAAGATCTCGAGATTATTCTCGTGATCGTTACTATCAATTGCGTGAACAGAGAGGTTACCGCAGTAGATCGAGTTCCAGTTCTCAATCTGCTTCTCGTTCCCCATCTCCACGAGTTCGTTTTGACGTACCCGTGCGAGACGCTTCACGTTATTCACCTTCCCCGGAACCAGAGGTGTGATAGTCGGAGCCGATTCTCCGCCTACCTTCACTTTTGAGCTGATACAGGGTGACCACCTTCACTTTTGAGTTTGAAAATTATTTTTGCTAAAGCTCAAAAGAAGGAAAATAAGCAAAAGGATTGTAAAAAAAGTATTAAGAGCATATATCTATGTAGTAGGTCGATCCAGGCAGTAACCGCCGAGAACCAGAATTTCGAAATAAAATAATGAAAAATCATGAAAAACCATTCCACTGTTACAAATCTGCTGGCTGAAGACCTCCGCAGTTGCGACTTTATAAGTTTTGAAGGGTAAATGTTGTTCTACCAGACATTGAAAGAATCAGTTTGATTTGAGGAGTGGCCGCCGAGAACGAGAATTTTGAAAACCCTTAAAAATCTTCTCAATTTTAGGTTGCTTAATGACAATTGACATTCAAACTCTTATAAATCCATACTTTGAAGGTGTGTGATGTTGCGACTTCATGGGTTTTAGGGTAAGGTTTGCCCTATCAGAATATATCTTAGCTGTACCGATCCATTGAAACATCGCCGAGATCCAGGCTCTTAAAAAAGGAGGTAAAAAACCGTTTTTCAGCTCATAACTTCTTCAGAATTGCATAATTCATGTTGCGACTTCATAGGTTGGATTCTCCTCATCAAGAGCTTTCAAATGATTTACAATATGTGGGGGATTCACGCCTCCCACGGCATATGCCCGGATGGGCAAGATGGCTACCATTTCCACAAGTGTCGTTACTCTATGGCTCCCGCCAGAGTGCCGAAGTTATGCCAGCGCTACGCCAGCATTTAGATC